TTATTGATGCCAACCTTTTGTTAAAGATGTCCAAAGAATCCCAATGTTAACAAGTTCCTTAGGAGATTCTTATATGTACCCTAAGTTTAAGGGTAACTAGTTATGAAATGGGAATCCACAAAGGGATTTTAGAGAAAGAAGGGATATTATATGATTGTCATTTTACATTGATGCATCTGGATACAATATGGAAGACAGAACTAATTGGTGGGTATTTACCACAGCAAAACCAATTGGGATGCTATTGCATTCAACTTGTCAAGGAATGCTGAAGGCCTGAGCTAGAGGAATGGAATACAAAAAAAGAAGAAAATCATTCAAAAAATACTTCAGACATGAAGATGGGAAGAATATTTCAGAGACTGTGAAAACTGGTTGGTTGTGGAATGGTGGTTGTGATGGAGAAGAAGGAGGTAATGATGGCTTGGATGAATGATGGATGGTGGGGTACTTCTCTAATTCTGTATCTGGAAAAAGAACAAGATGGCAGCTAAGATGCCAGGTTGAGTTTTAGTTGGAGATGCGGTATCTGTCAGCCATTTCTTTGTATTTCAATTAAATGCTTCAATTGAATTCAAGCAATTGAATATTCACTTCTAAAGTTCCAATTTGAGACAGATTTCACTCACCATCAGACAAGTTACACATGAAGAATCCATATTTGTGGATGGTTTGGTGCTAACAAACCTACAAAAATATGCCTCAAAAAGGGGGCCCTGAATGCTATTAAAAGATATTTATTTGTCCACAGGAGAATTAAAGATTTCTCCATACATTCTTAGATGTATTTAGTGTTGGAACTTGATTTGTAAGGACCAAGGATCTGATGTTGTGATTTATGCTGCTATTGTTTCTTTACCTTGTAAATGTCCACAAAGCATCCATAGGTAGAAAATTCCTCACTGTAGTGATGAAGGTGTGGGAACCAAATGCTTTATTAATTCAAACATTAAGAAGGTAGGATTCTCATTCAAGTTTTTCTTTGTTTTATTATTTTTGATAAAGAAGAGGTTTGCTTATCATTAATTCACCTCCATAGTGTCCTTCTTGGGTCTTGATGGTATATACTTTTCTTATCAAACATTGTTATGGATTTTGAGTTTTAATATTTCCATTCAGAATGTTTGAAAATAACATCTTGAGAAGACACAGTGTAGAATGTTCCCTTCCTCTGGAAAAAGGTTATATGATTCCATGAATGGTTTTAGCCACAGGTACTTATACAATCACACCTAGGAATATGTAAGTATTTAAATAATGACAAACCAATTGAATTTATAAATAAAAACTAGATGTACACATGCCCAGGGAATGACCACACAACATGAAGAAGCAGCAAGCCCAGGAAAGAGACTTGGAACGGACACTTTTGTCAGTGAAAACCAAGTTTGGTAGTACTTTGATATTGGATTTCTAGCTTTAAAACTATGATAAAGCAAATCTCTCTCTTTTTTTTAAGCTGCTCAGTGTGTAGTACTTTGTTATGGCAGCCCTCAGAAACTAATATAGCAGGTAAAAAGCTAAAACAAAGAGTTAAAAAATTGGAAAGAAAAAGATTAACATAGTTTCTAAGGTGAAACTCTTTTCTCAAGAACTAGCCTTATTTCTAAAATGGTTGAATGTTTGACAGAGCTCTTCATAGAGCCCAGAAACTTCAAGCTTATTATTAAAATAACACCATTTTAGTGTGAAGTTCAAAGAGATCTAAGAGTGGAACTGGAGCATGGCCTTTACCAACTCCTCATCTTTTTCCAAAATGATATTATTGATTATAATCAGGAAGTTAATGGATAGCCTCATGAATTAATCTGCTACTCTAAAACAATAATATTCAATCATGAGGCTTAAGACTATACATCTTCTGGGACTGCTGATAAGGACATAAAGATTCGTGGATATACTGGGTAGTTGTCTTGAAAGGGATTAAGACAACCTGACTTATTTTCCTATAGTGTGTGTGTGTGTGTGTGGTTTGGGTTTTTGGGGGGTATTTTTTTTAGGGAGTTGGAAAGGAGTTGTCCAAGATCAGATCAGTGTGTACTTTATGCTTCCTCATTCTTTTGTTACCCCACAACTTCCATTACTTAGAACAAAAAGTAATAATAATGCATTAGAACAGATTCCACATTATTCAAAGTCAGTTTGGAATCTTGAATTCTCTTCCTGGCAAGTAATTTCTAGAGGTTTATTGATAATATGTAGTATGTCCAGAGAAAGTCATGCAAAATGATGAGGAACTGAGGGTAGGTGAAAGCAGCTGATACTTGATTAGAAATATATGGAACACTCTCTAGTGGATGAAGGTATCAGTTTAATTTTTGGCTCTTGAGGAAATTGTTAGGCCCAATAGGTGGACCTTGTAGAATGCTGATTTCATTTTAGCCCAAAAACTTCTAGTGTACTTTTTAAGCACTTAAGGACCAGAAGGCTGATTGATGGGTGAAGTAACTTCATGGTTACAAGGGTTTCTGTTCTCACTTTACCTCTTATTAGCTGTGTGACCTAGTCAAGTCACTTAACTTCTCTTAGCCTTAGTACACCCATCATAATTGCATTAATGCTTGCACCTACTTCACTGCGTATGAGACAAAATTGTGTATGCAAACTGATAAGGAAACTGACGCTAAGATCATGGTTGAACATACTTGGTCTCAAAGTTCATCAATGCTTCTTCCAGGTTTTAATCCTAGTTACTCAGGAGGCAGAGATCAGTAGGACTGTGGTTTGAAGCCAGCTCCAACAAATAGTTTGCAAGACCCTATCTTGAAAGAACCCGTTACAGAAAAAGGCTGGTGGAGTGGCTCAAGGTGTAGGCCCTGAGTTCAAGCCCCAGTACTGCAAAAACAAAAATAAAACAAAACAGAAAAGACCTAGTGTGTATGACTTCATTATGCTGTTGTGTCTAAAGATCTTTCCAATAAAGAAAAAGGGAAAGGAAGTATAAATGGGGGGGGAGTAAGGTGAGCACATTGAAAGAGAAAGACGTTGGTCCCACTGTTTGCCTTGTTTGTCCACATAGTTAATGAAATGATTTTCTCAATCAAGCTATAAGCCTGTTTAAATAGCAAAAGAAGCTAGTTCTTGTCCTTTACCCCCACCCCCTCTGCTTCTTCATTTATCACTTTCCAATCACTAGCAGGGAGTTCCTCATGCACAACTGGAACACTCTGATGGGAGCCATTTCTCATTCATTCTTTGCCCTTCTCTGTCACTTAAACTCATGGAAGGCTATTTTTGAAGGCACAGCTCTGATTGGTCTCATTGCAAAGTTAAAAGAATACTACACTCAGAATCTAATTCTGCTTTTTAATTTTTATGGTAAAATATTAAAACTTAGAAGCAAACTGAAAGGATAAGACCAAGTGGTCTGAATCAAAGCTGATCATTCTCAGAGAGATCCCCAGGGATAATTTAAAATGGTCATCCTCTGATATCACCATCATCCCTGAGTCTTTCTGAGCTAGCCCATTCAGAGAGGGTTGTACTTTGACTTTTTCTAAAATATGTTAAATACCCATTGCTTTCAGTGATCTTGAAATAAACATGATAACAAGCTATCTGTTTCTACTTTTTAAATAGGTTTGTGTCTAGGAGGTACTGGGAACAATATGAGCTCTTTAATTAAAGGTGCTTGTCATCATTAACAAACAATAAGAAAGACTTTGAAAAGTTCTTCCAGATAGTCACTTGAAAATGTCATAAAAGTATAGTCTGGGTAACGCTACTATGCCTTGAGAGTGATTCTGTTGTACTTTGTATACATTACATTATTTCATCCTATGACAAGTCAACAAGGCTGACATTACCATAGCCATTCCAAAGGTGAGGAAATGAGGTACACAGAGCTTCCCAAGCGAATACAGCATGAAACATCTAAAACTTGTTTTATATGTACTTTATGAATCACATGTACCTCCCCAAATGATGAAAGAACATAGAAGAAATTGAAGCAAGGTTCACGATGTATCTCTTCTCATTACATGAGTTTACTTTTATCCATCTTGAGCAAATTGTGAAATGTCACCATCAGTATCGTATAGACTTGTGATTCACAAGAGCTCAGCTTTTTCAGTAAAATTAGAAGAAACCATGATTTTCAAATAAGTGTATGTGCATTAAGAAAAAACTATGAGGTGATTTTAGATGTGGATGCTAATTTCAAAATATTAGTTATTATTTCCAACTCAAGTACTTAAAATGCTTGAATACTATATATTCATATAGATTTTGTCAATGTGTTAGAGCAGAGTTGAGACCTGTTTGTGCATGCTAAGCTTATTACATGTGTGCACTTATCATTCAACTTATATGTACACTGAAAACAGTACATATGTAGTATATTTTTGAAGGAACTGAGCCCCTACAATTGTTAACTGTGCATGAAATGTAATGGGAGATATGAATGGTATAGATCTGACTGCTCCTCTTTAGGAGCTATTCTTTGCTTTTTTGGGGAAGAGAGAAGAATTAGGAAAGAAATACATTCATTCCTCAGGCCTCCCTTCTCCAAACACATTCCATTCAATCTCTTCAACTGGCTGGAATATCCTCTCTGCCCCCACCCTGTAACCTTCCCAATGCAGTGGGAAAGTCGGTGGGTAATTGGGTCCAGATTGAAGGTATTTAAATATTCATGAGGCTGGCAGGGGCCTGGGAGGGGGCGACTGTCTAGATGGGGGTAGGGGCTACAGGAAGTGATTAGTCATTGAGAGCTAGTGAACAATTCTGAGAAAGAGACAGAGAGAGAGAGAAGAAAAAGATAAAGATATAAAGATTGGGAGGGGGTTGGAGAACGAGAAGAGGGACAAGGAGAGAGAAGAGGAGAGGAGAGGAGGATTAGGAGGACGACGAGGAGAGGAGAAGAGAGAGAGAGGAGAGAGACAGGGAGAGAGAGAGAGAGAGAGAGAGAGAGAGAGAGAGAGAGAGAGAGAGAGAGCATGTGCGATGAGCAATAGCTGTGGACCTTACAGTTGCTGCTAACTGCCCTGGTGTGTGTGTGTGAGGGAGAGAGAGAGAGGGAGGGAGGGAGAGAGAGTGAGCGCGCTAGCGCGAGAGAGCGAGTGAGCAAGCGAGCAGAAAAGAGGTGGAGAGGGGGGGAATAGAAAGAGAGAGGAGGAAAGGAGAGAAGGCAGGAAGAAGGCAAGGGAGGATACAACCATGCTGTGCTGTATGAGAAGAACCAAACAGGTAGAGCTAAAGATTTTTACTTCTTGCTGTTGTGAAATTTCCAGAGTACAATATTTCCCTGTAAAGGCAGAAAAAAAAATATTTTAACTGCTTCTGCTCTGGCATGGTGCTCGCGTTTCCTTAGCATATGGTAACTGATGGTTGCATCCCAGCTTTTATTCTTTTCTGTCTTTCATGCTTTGGTTTTGGAATGTTGCTACTAATTAGAGTGAGGGTAGAAAAATATGCCCATTTGGCTAGAAATAGGGTTGCTTTTTGCCTATTAGTAAATGCTCAGCGTTAGGTCTCTGCTTTTGAGGGTGTGGATGTGGAAAGGGGTGTGGGGAAGAAGATGTGGGTTCTACCTACAAGATAGGGAAGCGATCCTTTATATTATTTGCAAAAAAGCGTGGTTGAGGGAATAATATTCAGGTTGAGCATTGCCTGTTCTGTCGCACAATTTTCTCACATGTGCTGTGGAAGATGCCTTATTTCTTACATGCATGAGCTCCAAAAAGAGGAACAGGTATTTATAGAAAAACATGTGAAGATTTTCTTCATTTATTTTTTCCACGAATGAATGAAACTGATTTGGAAGAATTTTTTTTTAAGGGATCCTAAAGGCAACTGGGACTGGAGGAGAAATTGAATGTGTAGAAGGGGAAAATTCCCTTCCTAAAATCAGTAGCTGATTGTGCACCAGCTGGTCGGAGGAGAGGGTGGACCACGCCCCTACGAGCTTTGAGCTTGGATGGGATGGGCAAGATGAGCTGGGTATTACCTGTTGGAAACCAGGTCTTTTCTCTTTTTCCCTTTCCCTTGCTTCTTTCCTTGCATTATCCGTGACCAGAGATGTGTTAACATCCTGTATAATAAGCACGGTGACTCATTTTCATCAGGAAGAGGGACACATCCAAGATTAGCAAGAATCAGAATCCCCTCCTTCCCTCCCCTACTGCCTAGATTTTTCTTCCATTTCAAATTGCTCAATTATTTCTTGAAAGACGTTTAGAAACTTGATTGGGGTGAGGATGGGGAGGAATGACGAGTTCGGTATTCCGCAGTAACAGGCAGAACAGTGACAGGCTCCAAACAAGCTTTCAAACATTTCTTGGAACACGTTTGAGTGATTTTGGCAAAGGTTAAGAAGGAAAATGGGTGTGGAAAATAGGTGAGTGAGCTTGTGTGTGTGTGTGTATCCATGGCAGGGTGTGTGTAGGGGGCGATCTTGGTCAAAGAAGCCCTCTGCAGAGTGATTGCCTTAGGGGTGGGGTGCAAGAGATCAGATTTGGGCATTATTCCTGTGCAGGTATTGGAGATTGGGCAATTTGTAATACACTCCCTGCATTCGGAGGGAGTGGAGAAGAGTGGAGAAGAAACAGTCTTCCAGCCTTGCACATTTAGCCAGCGCCCTGGAGGGAGGGGTGGGGAGTGAGGATGGAGGAGAAGGAAGAGGAGGAGGAGGAAGAGAAACAGAAGCAGAATATCAGAGCAGTGGGTGGAGAAGCAAGGCAAAAATGAATGAATGAATGAATAAAGTAGCAGACATCCTTGGTTATGTGGAGATGTTGGAGGAAAGTCAGCAAAGGGGGAGTGGGCAGAGAGGTGGGGGCTATCTGCAGCATTTCTCTAAACTGTTCTTTGGTTCCAGAGATTGATGCTTCCACAGAATCTTTTTTAAAACTAGGACATTTCCTCTCCTTGTCTTCCTTCATTTTAATATATAAATGTAATAGATACAGGTGTCTGCGTCAAGCATACTGTCAAAGAAAGGTTACCCCACTGGTGAGTTGGGGAAATAAAATTTAGGAAGGTGGAGCCCTAAGGAAGCCAATGCTATTCATTTAAAAGGCTTTAATTTTGGAAAGAAAAAAAAAAAACTGGTTTACAACTTGTTCCCACCCTATTTATTTATATACATACAAGTCTATACATGTCTCCTTTGATAAAGAAAACTAAACATGCTTTTTGGATAGCAAATGGGGGCTAAAGGAATTCCCTTCCCAAAATGAAGACAGCTGCCTTCACTCTGGCTCTATCTCACTGACAGCCCTAAGCATTCACTGTGATGTGTGAAGTGATGAAGATGAAATTGTGTGTTTAGTGAGTTTAGAAATCTGCACGTCAGTGTGTAGACCATGGCATACTTCATATGCAACAGTCATGCATGTGCTCTGTATGGTTTCCACATGCCTTCCTATGTTTTAGCATCATTCATATGCAAAAGGAGAAAATGAAACATAAAAATGCTTCTTTGGGCCCATATGTTTTATGTGCACTTACGTGTGAAATGGCCATGTGTCCTATATTACACTGCTCTATATCATTCAAATTTTATTTAAGATACAATTAAATCAGGCAGAAGGAGTTGGTGTATTCAGGGCGTGGGCTCACACTGCACTGACTGGCATTTATATAGTGTGAATACTTCAGGCTCACACAGGTTTCCTGCTTGTGGGTGGAATGATCTTCTAATCATTCGTGCAGAATTCCCTGGTGTCCATCCTTCTTCTGACATGTATTTTTTCATCCTAGTCCTTAACCGGGAATAAAATAAGGGCAAATAAAACCTGCAAAGGTCTAAACTCTGCCACACCCATGAAATCCAGCAGAAACGTGGGAAGGGGGTGGAGGGCTTGCACTTCCTTCCTTTTCCACTTGAGCAGCATAAAGAAGCAATCTTGGATTTCTAACTTGTAATACATTGTCAATGGGTAAGAAGAAAGCATAAATGATCTATATTAGCCATTAGTTACCATTATAGGTTATTACATCAGGAAGAAGACAGAAGTGGAATGGAGATGGGAAGATGGGAAGGAGTGAGTAAAGGAGGAATAAAATAAAAGGATCCCTGAGATTTAATTGGTTTATGATTCTCAAATATCTTGGGGCTTGCTTTAAATAGCTCAATTACCACGCATACTGCAGATGATTAAAAACTTGCAAGGTGTGATGTCTACAAAGCTAGAAAACTGTCAGATGTTTCCTTTGTTTAAAAATAATGACTTTAGTTTGTAATTGAAGTGTAAAAAAACACCCTGCAAGTAAGTAGCCCCTGTAGCCTCTAGACACTAACTCTGTTAACATCTGCCTTTTTCTCCATAAACAAATAATTCTTACCTTTGAGAGTGTGATCTGTGGTTTAGAATTCCAAGCCTACTGCCCCTCCCCTTGCAGCATCAGGAAGGTGTGGAAGGATGCAGCCTGCAGCCTTGCTGCTGGGTGCAGGGCATCCTGCCTAGTGAAATATTGGATTCCTCCTTAAATCTCTCTCAGCCACACCCAGTGTCATCCAGGGACTTAGTGAATTAATTAAATGGAAGCATTCTACTTAACATAATTGATGCTGTTCATTTTTTAAATAGTGGTATCCACCACACATTTCCAAATTTAAACAGAAGAAATTACTTAAAGGGCATTTTTTTCCCCTGCCAAATTATTTGGACTTGGGAGAATCTTAGGCAATTCATGGTGAATCTAGAAATGTGTTCATTTCTGGTGACTCTAATGCTTTCTAACCTATGCCAGGGTGCATGCATAATGAGCTCTGATCTCTCATGCTGAGATAGTCTGTGTCACTCTGTTCCCTGCCCCCCAACCCCAACTCATGCTGAGGCAACTGGAATAAGGAAACACAGGGTTAATTTTCTTTCTTGCTGAGCTGGCAAAACTACAGAAACCTCTTTTGATGTTGCCAGCTAAAGGGCAGTGCTCCTGTTCACCAAGAGGGAGAGTGTCTCAGGGTCTCTTCTGCCTCCATCACAGTGAAATTGTCAGTGATGTGCCGGGGGGGCTGAATTAATCCACAGACTTCAGAGTTTTACCTGGCCCCATTGGGAAGGGATGGGGATCTTTCAGGCAATAATACAGCATGTATGTTAACCCAATGCTTCCTCCCCTTGCTCATATTGATAAAGTAAGATGTATCTAAAATCTTCCTTTATTAATAGTTCAAAGAATGCATATAGCCAGTTCATCTCAAGAGAAGGTAGAGCATTTAACTCTTTGCTTCCCAATTGCTTACATTTATGATAGAGGTATTCAGCAACCAAGGAGTGTCTGTTGTAAATGAAATAAATTGATTGCATGCCAGAATCTCCCTTTTGGATGTCTGAAGTGTGGTCAGCTTGTTTCTGTGTCATCCTAATCAAATATTCCTAGCATTCTCTAAAGTGCTGGGAAGAGCACTGTGCTATGAGTGCTTAGTCAATGCTACTGACAATGGATTCTGTGATCTTGAATGGATCACATTTCTTGGGCTTCAGTTTCCTCCTGTCAACAGGGACTAAAAAACAAACAAACAAACCAAAGAACAGAAACCAACAAAAAGCTCCACCCTGCTTACCTTAAAGGATTTTGTAGGGATTAAACACAATTAAGATAAAAACAAAGATCAATACATTTATGAGAATATTTTTCAACTGTTGCAAGGTGAGGCTTGACAGAATCTCTAGTTTTTCAAAATTGTCACGTATCTACTATATTTGCCTTTTCTCCTTAGAGATTAGTTTCTTCTGATCACATGGAGCATTTGACTGCTGTGCTTGCACTCTTGCTCCTTCCCTGTCTTCTCCAGAGCCTCTCTCACTCATGTCCTACTCTCTTGAGATTTCCTCATTTTATTCATAAACCAGAGCTTATGAATGTGTTCTCATCTTCTCCATCTTACTCTGTCTCACCCTCCTTTTAGAACAAAATTCCTAAAAGTACTCCACACTCACTTTCTCCTCTTTATCACTCCCTATTCACTATTCCACCTATTTTAAAGTGGCGTCTGTTCCAATCATTTCACTGAAGGTTATTCTGAGAGAGCAAGCACATCCAGTGATCCCCAGTGTACATCCTATTTGATTTCTCTTTGACATTTTGTATTGTCCATTCTTCTTCCTCAAACTCCATCCTCACTGGGCTTCCTCAATAGTTCTCCTCATTCTCTTCCTTCACCATCTCCTTTGCTGACTTCTTTCATTTTCTTCCCCTCACATTATTAATAATCTTCCAGTCCATAATTTTGATCCATT